TGTCTATTGCCAACTGTTGTCCCTTTCCCCAAACTGCTGTAGTCAATACCTGTCCCTTAAGTGCTTCTGACAAAAACCACCCAGGAAGCTGCCCCATCCCTGGAAATACTCTGAGTTAGACAAAACACAGGGAAGCCTTTGCATTGGTCTTTGAATGAGCTACCAGATGGGCGAGGCTCACAACCACTGCTCTTTGAGAGTATGGTCCTTATTGCACCCTCTGGTATTGGAAACCTGCACCACGAATGTGAGCTACCGTCCTCACAGCCTCTGCTGAGCTAGGATGTAGAGGATGGTAGGCAGCCTATTTTAAATGTCACAGCATTCTCTTACTACAAAGCAACAGCTCTTTTCTTGACCAAGTCTTTCCCCTTGTTTGTTGTAAGATTTTTACTAGATTTCAGAGTTCTGCAAAAGTTGAGTCTGACAGTTTTTGCCGGCTTATTAATTGCTTTTGGGGAGGGATGGCAGTCTAGAATTCCCTACTCTGTCATTTCAGATGACCAACAGTATCCAGTTTGAGATTAAAAAATAAAAAGGTCTAGGAAATAATTCTACTCAAAAGGAAGAAATTCATCAAAGTGAATCAGAAGAAATGAAAACTGATAAGGCAGAAAACCAAAAGGAACATTTTCTAGAAACCAGGTTTCTACAGAAGTAAAAGCTGTCCATTCAACCCTATATGAATCATAGTATTACCACATCTAAAATATTTTTATGTCATTCATATGTCAAACAGTTAAATGTATCACACCTAACTAATAAGGTATCATACCAAGCTTCTAAAATAATTCCAGTGGTTCTTAAACCTGTCTGATAATCAGAATCACCTGCTGAGTTTTTTTAAAATACAAATTCCTGTACTTCCACTCAGAGACTTCTTAAGTGAAGGGAGCCTTGGAATCTATATTTTTCTCATGCTCCCTAAATAATTATTAAGATAATCTAGGCCGGGCGCGGTGGCTCACGCCTGTAATCCTAGCTCTCTGGGAGGCGGAGGCGGGCAGATTGTTTGAGCTCAGGAGTTCGAAACCAGCCTGAGCAAGAGCGAGACCCCGTCTCTACTAAAAATAGAAAGAAATTAGCTAGACAACTAAAAATATATAGAAAAAATTGGCAGGGCATGGTGGCGCATGCCTGTAGTCCCAGCTACTCGGGAGGCTGAGGCAGAAGGATTGCTTGAGCCCAGGAGTTTGAGGTTGCTGTGAGCTAGGCTGACGCCACAGCACTCTAGCCTGGGCAACACAGTGAGACTCTGTCTCAAAAAAAAAAAAAAAAAAAAAAAAGATAATCTAGGTTTGAGAATGACTGCCTGAAAGGTAAACGAGTGGCTAGTATGAGTAACTTTTTCAGAGGAGTAAATGAAGACTGGCATGATTAGCTTGCTTTTGACAGCAGTGAACACTCAGAAATGTATCTCAGTTCCCAATTTCAAATTCTATTCCCTCTCCTAACCTAGAATCTAAGAAACATCTAAGGGAAAAAGTGGGAATCCAAGTTATTCATTTTGACATTGAATGAATTATTTTTAAACTATCATATGTAATTTTGGGAATCCATAACATTTTTTAATCAGAATTGTTTTGTGCTAAACTATTGCAAAACCTCGCTGAACAATTCACCTTTCTCAGAAAAATGATATAAATAGCCAACAATAATTGAATACTCATGTGCAAAACCCCTATGTACTTTACACATATTTTATCATTTAATACTTATAACAACCTGATAACATAAATAATTTTATTCTTATTTTACAGATGAGGAAACTAAGGCACAGAATGATTAAATAACTTGCTTAAGGTCACAGAACAAGTAGGTGTCAGAGTCAGAATATGAATACATACCAAAGTGTATGCTGTACATCATTACAATAAACTCCCTCCCCAAACATGTTATTAACTATTAATAAAAGAGAACTTCATTCTGTAAGTGAGCACTCATCTCACTGGACTCTTAATATTTTCAAACTTCCCACCCTCCTTTCACAGGTCCTTTTGAACTACGCTAATTCAGTAGCCACTAGCCACATATGGCTATTAAACAAACACTTGAAATGTGGCATCTGAATTGAAATGTGCTGGAGCATATAATACACACAAGCTTTCAAAAACATAATGTAATATATATATAATATCTCATTAATAATTTTTATATAACATGTTGAAATGAAAATATTTTGATATATTGGATTACATAAAATATATTATTAAAATTAATTTTACTTGTTTTCTTTTAACTTTTTAAAATATTTCTACTAGGAAATTTAAACTACCTGGCTCACATTATATATCCATTGGACAGCACTGCTGTAGAGTTTCTTCCACGTCCTTTCTATGATTGTTGACCTTCCACATACAGCCCCAAATTAGGCTTAGTCTACCCATACCCTTCTGTGGCATCTACTTAAAGGAAGTGATGACATATGCTTTGGTTTTAACAAAAGTTGTCTGTGATGAAAAGCCATTTCATATACTCCATCCTTCCCTAACTTTTCTCTATACCTAGCTGCAAAGAATCAGTGAATAGATGAGAGAAAAAAGGAGAGACAGTGCAAAATGGTATTTGGTGGTAACTCCAGTCTTTTAACTCCCCAGCGAACTAAAATTTGAAGAAACAGAACAGGTGTGATTACATACATCACCACATCACTCTGTAATCATGCATGGCAAGTAACCCACAAAGTGGCTAAATGTACACTTACCTAAGAGATTTGCATTAAGTATTCATTTTGTAAAAGTTTAGTGTGACTCTTGTAACATTTTCATTTTAAATGTGACTGAAGTATTTTAGCCTTTTCCATTAACAGTACAAAAGGTAATGTTAGAAAAATAAAAGAAAGGCAGAACTACCAAAATAAGTGCCACAATCTTTTAGAATAAAGGCCCCCTTTTCTCCTCAGAAGTATGCAACTTCCAACAGAGAAAATTGCAAGAAAATATTTTTCTCTTAGACTTACTGACTTCTTACAGAATTTCAGGTGTGAAAAAGACTTTAGAAGTCAAGTCCACTGACAAACTAACATCTGAATGTTCTCTACAACATTTTCAAGTGTTTGTAGTGGAAAACACTCCTTCCCAAGGCTGCTGGTCATTGTTGTTGTCATTTTTCACCATTTTTATCATTTTTTCTTATATTCAGCTAAAATGTGTTAACCCGTAGCTTTTACCCATTAATTCTATCTCTGTGCTCTGCTCTTGGATCATATAAACCAATCACACTTGCACATAAGAGTCCTGTTATTACTTAAAGATAGTTGTCTTCCACCTGGAGAATGCACTGGTTCCCACTCATTCTTCCATATACACATTGTCTCATCCTGACATCTACAAGTACTAGGTGATCCGCCCTCACCCACAATGCTGTAGCAGGCGACTAAGCAAATGGGAGTTAGGACTTCCACCTCTTGTTTATAACAAGTGTTCAGCCAGAGGTAGAAGGAGATATACTAAACAGCAATTTATCAGCTACTCTTTATTAATATTGGTCTTCAAGCAACTCTGCTCTCTCTCACTCCATTTTGAAGAGATGTTAGCCCAATTCAGGGCTTGTTGAAATCAATGCAGTCATACAACGTGCATGTACACAATCACAAAGTCCGAGGCTGACCCATCAAGGCTTCTCGTTTACCCTTCTATTGTACTGTCAAAGTAGAGTATGTGCCTCTTTCAAGCATTCTTAACCAGGATTCTTTAACTGGAAAAAAAAATGAATTAGTATCAGTCTGTAGGCAGGTTTATTAGAAAAAAAGAAGAAAACATCATCTGGTCAGATTTTTAGCATAGACAAAATGTAACAGTTTTAACAATGTCCATTCAAATGATCATTAAAAGGAGAATTTTTAAAGGCTCAACAAAAATAGACCAGCATATGAAGAGAAAGAGAAAATATGACTGATGAAGAGCCTAAGGAAATAGCCCCTAGAACATAGTTGCATTCTGTTTGTATTTTTTTCCCATTTTTCTGATTCTTAAATGTTGATTGTTTTGTATGAAAACCATCTTAATTAAACAGCTTACTAATATTGAGAGATATGTCTCATAAATTATTTACCTTAACACCTAGGACAAATGCACACACATAGTAAAGACAGGTGGGTAAAGACAGGTAGGCCTTAGTTTGTACAAATGACATTCTGAACAAAAGTTATATGTATATCACAGTAAGCCAGCAAAGAATGATTGAGGGAGGTAGACACAGTACGTGGAAAAAACCCTGGAGGCTGGAATGTAGTCCCAACTCTACCACTGACTTGCTCTATAACCTTAGGCAAATCATTTGATACTACTCTAGTCCATTTTTCCCATCCACAAAATGAGATAGATAAACTGGATAATTGCTAAAATTCTTTCCATTTCTGATACTCTGTGAAATCCTAGTTAAAAGGTAACAATAATTAGTATTCATTAAGTACTTGTGTTTTACTAGATACTATGCTAAGCGGTATTCATGTGTATTAACTCATTTAATTCTTAAGTAACCTTGTGAGGTAGATACTGTTAGGGAAGTTAAGGAACTTGCCCAGGGTCACAAAATAGCACAACTGGTCTTCTAACCCAGTCTGACTTCAGAACTGGCATGCAACATCCGCACTGTATTACCTCTAAATGTACAAGAGAAACTTGGTGTTTAAAGACATCTTAAAGTGAATACTTTGGGGAAGTAATCATCTCCTCATTTACCAGCTTTTAAGTTCTGACTGCCATGTTATATAGCTTGAGTGTTTCCATTTGTTGGATTTTTTTAAAAATCAGGTTATACCCCGTATTTGTTAAAGGAGTAGATATTCTTAATTACTGAAGGTTGAAGATGAAGGAAGGCAGCAAAAGATGGACTTTAATCATCCTTGCCTTTCCACATCTTTGGCTGGTGGTTTCCTAAAGTACCATCATACAAAGTGCTCAAAAATGATGCTGCGGAAAAATGAGTTAGAAAAGACATTTTTAAATATAACTAATTTTGATCTCTCTCTCTCCTCCCTCCCCCACCTTTCCCCACAGTGACTGTTTTGAGCCCAGCAGAAAAAGGTAAGATGATGTTGTAAATTGTATTGGTCAGGACTGTATCCTTCTTTCTATCTAAAAGGAAATTACATAAAAGCCTATAGTAATTGAGCATAAAAGCCTAGTTGAGCAACTTCCCCAGGAATACACTTAGGTAAATGGCAAGTTTAGGATGACAATTTTCAGGAAGCTTACCCGGAAATAGAGCAGTGCATAATACAGCAAGGCTGTTATAGTTGGCTGTATAAAAGCGATTGGAAATTGCCAAGATTTATGATAGAGAAGGACACAGGTAACCACTCTGTCTGCCATAGTGACCTTAGGCTCTTTCTTGGTTCATCACTGTTGTCCTAGATATCTTGCCTTTCTGCCCAATCCATCCCCTCTTCAAGGCACGGAGTAAGGGCCCCCCAGGGGACTTTAAAGGCTAACTCCTTCACCATCACAGTTCTAGTATATTTACTGTGCTCCTCTCCACTCCTCACCATCACCTTGGCTTGACCTGCAATTTATACTACCTTTCTAAAGAGATTGAGGCATTTTCCATTGAAAAAAGTATCAGCTAAGCATGAATCTTAACAAATCTATAGCTTTATGTTATTTTATCAGTAACAGTCATGAGTATTTATGTAACCACTTTATATAGCCACTTTTAATTCTCACTTCATAGAAATTGTTATAATTCATTAACCTACCTGGCATCCATATTATGCTGTTTTAAAGCTCTAGTTTACTATTAGTCATTTAACAGAGGCATTGACTATAGAGGCAACAGAGCAGAATGGTTGGGAGATAGTAGACCATAGTGTTTAAAAGTGTATGTTCTGGACTTAGAGTGTCTGAATTCAAATCCTGGCTCTGGGCCAGGTGTGGTGGCTCATGCCTGTAATCCTAGCACTCTGGGAGGCTGAGGCTGGAGGATCCCTTGAGGTCAGGAGTTTGAGACCAGCCTGAGCACAAGCAAGACCCCATCTCTACAAAAAATAGAAAAATTTGGCCAGGTGTGGTGGCTCACGCCTGTAATCCTAGCACTCTGGAAGGCCGAGGCGGGAGGATTGTTTGAGCTCAGGAGTTTGAAACCAGCCTGAGCAAGAGCGAGACCCCACCTCTACTAAAAATAGAAAGAAATTAATCAGACAA